ATGGACATTTTAGATTCTAGGCTAAATGCCAACCACTGATACCAGTTTTTTAAAAATTCCAGTGTCTCTACTTAAGCATTAATTAAGCACCATTTTACAGCAATCTAGAAAGGGACTTTATAATTTAGTAACCTTACGGTAAATCCAAAAGTAATTTATTAAGAACAGTTTTGTGCATTTTACTGGGGTGCTGACTCAGGCATGCCTATACCACTCACAAACCACAAATATTAAAAAACAGAACAGGGACTTTGTTGTCCTTCTCCCGACCCTCTCCCCACTGTTGTGCCCTGAGCACTTAAGGACTTTGTTGTCCTTTTACCCCCCCCACCCCGCTGTCTCCCCCACTGAGCACCTAGAACAGTGTTTGGCACGTAGTAGGTGCTTAAATAACCATTGTCAGTCAACGGGGTTCTGATATCCTCACAAAAGAACCAGTAGGTGCTCGGGACCTGAAGAATGCCCTCTGTTTGGGGCTGGCATGGTTCTGTGCACTGTAAGCCCTCTTTGTTCTTGTCCCCTGCCCGTCTGTACCAGGATGTTACTGTTTTGTATCAGAACTCACATTGCTATTTGCAGAAACGCATCAGGGCTCATGGCCTTGGCCAGCACCACCAGAGAGGGATAGATGGGCAGTGAGGGTGTGGGGGAGCCCCAGCCCCTCTTAGAGGGGCGATGTCCTTCGATGTCAATGGCTGCTCAGGCCATTTCCATTTTCTGGCAGCCTTTTTCCTCTCCATTTGAGAGGTGCTGACACCTGGCCCACCTGTTTTGATCTGTGCATTTTTCTCCTGCTGAGGCACCCTGAGGCTAATGGAGGGGTCCCCTCAATTTGATGAGAACAACTTTTTGAGTAGGATTTGAGCCAAAAGTGAATTTTCCAACAGGCAGAAACAGGTTTCCCAGGAGGCTGCTGCTGAAACCCTTCTGGCAAGTACCTCTTTAATGATTTCTTTTTCTCCCTTGAGTGAGCCATGTGACTTAAACACTAAGTAGCAAGTGTATTGTAAAATGCTTTTAATTCAGGAAGGAAAAATTGCTTCCCTAAAATATTTGGTAGTTGGTGGTAGGGAGTTTGATGTTGGCTAGAATACCCTAATTAAGATATGTCTTCATAGTCTTTTGGTTTAATGCTTAAGTTATTATTATCATTATTATTTCAGTTGCAGAAATTGCCCCAGGTGTCATTTTCCAAAAGTCTGCCCACCCCACCGTCCTTGGTGTAGTGATACCTTCTCGGTTAGACTAACGTGAGCTGTATTCCAGTTGAGAAGGTCAAGATTCTCTGCGGCACATTCATAATGTTGCAGTTCCACTACTTCAGTGAAGTTTCTCCAAAGCCAGGGCTCAACATGTCTCCAAACCATTTGCGTCTGGGTCCTCATTTCTTGCAGCACAGTATACACATAAAAAGTCTCCTAAGTGACATATAAATTCTGTTTCTACATGAAAGCTTTGCTGTCCCTTCAACTACACTCAGTCCCGGTGGCTTAAATAAAATCCCGCTCAGATTATTGTTAATGCTGTGCCTGATTCTGCAGCAGCTGTTGCTTTTGCACAAAATGATGTTTCTCCTCCTCCAAGAGAAGTTGAAAATGACTCTTTTGCAGCATTTCCAACATGTGAAGATTCAGGCGGCACACAGGAGACTGAGGAATGAACCCATGGCTCCTGTTTGGGAATTCAGGGCACAGCTTTCAAACTATTGAGTTTTGCTACTGCCCAACATTGACTTTCATAGCAACAGTTTAATTTGAAGAAAATCTGCTACCTCAAATGGCTAAAAGTATTTATGTGGAAATTTTTCCAAATGACTGACTTCACTGTGTAGCTGTTTTCTTTCCCTATGAATAAGTGAGCATTTGGCTCCTGCCCAGGAATTTTTCTGCATCACTTCTCTTTAGGAGAATATTTTCTATCTGGAGCAGAAGAAAGAAGCACCAAGAGTTTCCCTTTGTGAATGGAATATTGTTTGAATTCACAACATAGCATGTATACGACCGAAGAATCTGGATATGAGTCCTGTGTTCCCTGGTTTTCCAATGGCGAATCTTCAAGGTCGTCAACGTCACCTTAGGCATCACTCCGACGTGAATGTCACCCAGATGAGCTCTGCACTTCCTCTGTCACAGCCCTGTCTGTGCTTCCCACTTGGCTCAGTCTTACTAAAGGAGCTGCCTCCAGCCCGCTTCCTTCCTTAACCACATCTCATTCTAAAAGCACTCTACCTACTATTCTTGCCTAAGTCACCAAAGACTCCCTGTTGTTCAGTTCAGTAGCTGTGTGGGAAGCTCATGTTTTTCCCGTGCACTTGGATGCCATTCTCTCTAGTTCCCTAGGGCCATTTATCTCCCTCATTCCCCTAAATTATTTCCTCTTTTTCTGTCTTTCTTTAGCATTCATTTCCAGGTCCACTTCTATTCTTCCTCCACATTCTCACTGTGGATTCAGTCTTAGTGGTTTCAGTTCCGTTCTGTTAGTATAGACTACTTGCCTATTTCAACATTCAAGGTCTGCTGAAGACAAGTCTGTGTCTAAACCCACTTCCCTCTCTGCTTTGTTTCTCAAGTTCCCAGACTAGTGGGAACACTAGTGTTTGCTGTACAAGACTGAATCCTTCTCTCTTCACCCATACAATAGACTAACATTTGCTATTTATTTCCTATACAGCTTATACATTCATGTCTTCCAACTTTTTATTGATGCTCCCTTTATATCTACTGCAAAGTCAAGAAACCATTAACATTGCTCTGGTCTTGCCACCCAACCAGTGCCTGTGTTAAGGGCACTGGAAGTTGTTTTTTGTTTGTTTTGTTTTCCTGCCTGAAGCATTCTCTTTACTCTCTCCCTCTCTCTCTGGTGAACTCCCACTTCCTTTTCTGTGTCAAATTCAGAGCTTCCTCTTAGATCCTCCCCCAAGTACCTCACTGTGTTATCAGCTCAACTACCCTGTATTAGCATTGCCTAGGTCTTTGTATCACTATTAGATTGTCAGTTCTGTGAGGCCAGGAGCATGTATGTATCTGATGCTGAGGTTGTACTGTGAGACCCCTGCCCACCACTTGGTGTGTGGCAGGTGCTCAGTAAATACCTTCTGGATGAGTAAACCTCCTAGTAATCCGTGTGTCTGCCTTCCGACACAGATGTAAATGCCTAACTCTTGTTTACAATTTCTTTCTTGCAAGTCAGACTTCCCTGACTGGAACAACTATGATTTTTCTTTCTCAAAACAGGTGAAAACCTTATGTCTTCACTATTCCAATTTTGATGCTGAAGCAGCTGGAAGGATGGCCAGAGTCTTCAAAAGGCATGAGGGTTTTCCTTCTAACTTCTATTCCTCCACTTCTACTCGTGCTTCTGCTTCCCTGCTAGCCTGGGCAGCAGTCTGTTTCCCGAGAATATTTCTCCCCAGGAGAGAATCTTCCTAAGGAAACCAGGGAACTGCCTGCCAGGATCTTCCCTCCAGTGCTGCTCCAGGCCTTTCAATAATTGTTCAAAGCTCACTCTGTTCTTGCTACATTGAATTCTTCCCCTCCCCAAAGCCTCTGAGCCTAAGTGAGGCCATGGAGGCATCGCCTGTGCGATTCCAGCCCTGAACTTGCTCTCTGCCTGGAAGACAGCATCCTCCTTGCCCTCTGCCCTTCTTGCCTCTCCCAGTACTAACCTGGAGATCTGGCTCAGATGCCACCTCCTCCATGACGTTCTTGCTATGTCCAGAAAGTTCCTCCTAAAATCCATCTAGTGATCTAGTGATCATCTCCAAATTCCCAGTGGACTTTATTTGTGCTTCTCTTGAGGCACCTTAAATAAAACATCTTGTTTTGTCCTTACACATGTTTTGTTGTTTATTTCATAGGAGCAAAGTCTTTCTCTATAAACATGTTCTCTAGCACAGAATTTGGCATGCAATGGGTATTCAAAAGATGGGGAGTTAGGTGGAGGAATCATAGCATAAGCAGGAGAACAAAATGGGTCACTGCATGTGGGGTGGGAGACCAAGGGTAAGGCTGGGTGCTGTGATGTCTAAATGAGTAAAAGCATATAAAATAATTAAGATCAGGTGGATAGTAAGCACTCAAGAAATGTCAAAATCTAGCTATGAAGGGTCTACAAAATGACTTGTATGCATGTGCAGGTATGCATGCTAAGGGCAAAAGGCATTTGTGACGGGTGCTACAAGGAATGGTCAACTTTAGCCAGTAATGATGGATGACAGAGGCAATGGCCTCAGACTCCCCTGATACGCCAGGAGCCTATGAAGATGAATGCCTGTGGAAATAAATCCCATTTCTACAATACAATTGAAGAATGATTTGGGCAAGAAGATGGGAAGGGAGACTATCCAAAGAGAGGCAGTGGAGAGATCTCAGAGACCTGAGGGATATTAACCAGTGTTTAAAAGTGTTTCGTAAAAAAAAAAAAATTATTATTTTAAGGGGGTGGAAATATAATTCTAGGAGAAACTCATGTTTTTGCTGCCATCTACAGATGTCAAAGTGCAATTTTTACAGATTCTTAACACACGCCGTCTCAGGGCATTCTGGACAAAATGGGTGGTGATCTACATGGTTTAGTAAGAAAAATTTATTATAATAGCTTAGCTTCTATATCTAAGTGCATACATGTTTAACAAGTAATGTGACTTTTGGCATGTTAAAATGTATTAAAATTTATCAGAATATTGTTTTACTAACCCAGGAGTATGCCAACAGGTCAGTTGCATGGTGGCTTCCAAGGGTGCTTTGTTAATAAATTCAGTGAGAAATCAGATGAACTGAATTTTACTCCATGCTTTCCTGCATGTCTCTGGTTGTTATTTGAATGACTGCAGATTGAATTTTATATAAGTTTTTTTTCTTCTATTGTTTGGCTATGAGCCCAAACTGTGAAACTAAAGTGTGACAGTGATGTCACCTTTGAGGTGCCTCCCTCTGTCGTCACCCGTGGTATCTGCAGGACTGTTACAAATCCTCGCTGACCTCCCTGTGCTCTCTTTAAAGGGTCAAATATAGACAAGAGTTATTGGAAAAGCGTTTGATGGAGAAACGGGAGGCAGCCCTCCAGGAAGCACATGAAGAAGAAGAGAGAGCAAGGCGGCTGGAGGCCCTCAGGCAACAGGTGGTTTTCATTTGGAAAGTTTCATGAGTGGTTCATAAAATAATAAGTTTCTAAGTGCTCTTAATAACATTATTACTGGGCCTTAGTTCATGACATCTGCTGCATAAAATGTCACTATTCCAAATTGAGACACTCAGGTTGATTCCTGGGAGCAATTAGATTTATGTTGAACTATTTCCAGTTTTTCAGTATATTAAAAGAACTTTATTAGCACCTTTTAAAAAAAAAACTCTCAAGAATTAATCATATCCACATCACCTCTAGTTTACGAGTTGAACTGCATCCATTTGCAACAGGAAACTCTAGGTCTAGTCCTAAGATGTTCTTGGCCTCACAGAATGTGAAGGAGTAAGATAATTCTCTCGGGGTAGGAAACTCTGTTTGAAAGTATTCCCCAGTGCATAAACATATTTAAATCTTAAAAAAAAAAAAAACCCTTTTTGGGCCCGGTGTGATAGCATAGTGGTTTAAGTCCCTGCCTTGCACGCACCAGGATCCCATATGGATGCCAGTTCTAATCCCGAGAGCTCCACTTCCCATCCAGCTCCCTGCTTGTGGCCTGGGAAAGCAGTCGAGGACGGCCCAAAGCCTTGGGACCCTGCACCCGCGTGGGAGACCTGGAAGAACTCCTGGCTCCTGACTTCAGATTGGCTCAGCTCCAGCCAATGTGGCTGTTTGGGGAATGAACCATCGAACAGAAGCTCTTCCTCTCTGTTTCTCCTCCTCTCTGTGTATCTGCCTTTCCAATAAAAAGAAATAAGTCTTTTTTTTAAAAAAAAAAAAAAAAACTTTTTATGGATAAAAAAAATCCTCCCATTTCCTTGCCTAGTAAAACTAGGAGAAAGTATATGAAAGTAGACTGTAAAAATGAGGAATCTGAGAACTTAGGATATGTGATAAAGTGGTTTTACATGCTTATTTCTCAGAGCTTGATCAGAAAGCGATTAGTTCAGTTCACAGGCTCAAGGCTCTCCCTTGATAAGTCTTTTCCGAGCTCCTAGGGAATGGCGTCCGTGTCAGTGGAGGGAATGTGGAATTGTCCTCTGAAGTCTTCAGCCTTAGTATAACCTGCTGGGTGTTCACTAGCAGAAGAGACTTGTCTCTCATTTACTCCTCTGAGCTGCTTTCCTCAAATGAAGAGTAGAAATAACAGCCAAATAGGTTTGTAGTGATGCAAATTCAAGTTTGTCAATCATTTGCCAAGTGTGAGGTCCAGTTTTAAAGACCACTGTGGCTTTTTCTCTCTCTTTTAGCTTTCTCTTTTTCTCTTTCTCTTTCTGCCTTTTAAGTTAATAAAAATAAATAATTGTTTTATATATAATGTGCATTATATACAATAAATTTTATATATAACATAATATGCAAATTATACACAATTTATATAAGATAATACACGGTTTTATTATATATTGCAAATATATAATATGAAATATATAGATATATGATATATTTAAATGTGAACTGAATATTAATATATTGCAATATTATATATATTCTAGATATAATATAATTGATATATAATATGTATGATGGGTAATAATAATATACATAATATAAAAGTTGTTTTTTTTTTTTTTTTTTAAAGATTTATTTTTATTATTTTTTCATTGGAAAGGCGGATATACAGAGAGGAGAGACAGAGAGGAAGGTCTTCCGTCCGATGATTCACTCCCCAAGTGAGCGCAACGGGCCGATACTATGCCGATCCGAAGCCAGGAGCCTCTTCCGGGTCTCCCACGCGGGTGCAGGTTCCCAAAGCTTTGGGCTGTCCTCGACTGCTTTCCCAGGCCACATGCAGGGAGCTGGAAGGGAAGCGGGGCTGCCGGGATTAGAACCGGCGCCCATATGGGATCCCGGGCGTGCAAGGCGAGGACCTTTAACCACTTGCGCCACCGCGCCGGGCCCATAAAAGTTGTTTTTTAATAAAAGCAATAACAAAGGCATGCTTGCCAAATGCTTTCTCAAAATCCTGAAGTTAGCAAATGCCAAGCAAAATTTAAAACATGTAAATTTGAGATAGTATAGTGATATATATATATATACACAACTGTTAAAATTTCTTATTCTTTGATTATATACATTATAGAGATTAAAATCATAGTAATGTTATTCCTATTAACCCTACATGCTACAAAATTTAAATTATCCAATCATTAGAAAAGAATTGTGCAGTATTGCCTTTTGGGACAGGACTTAATACCAGAATTACTAAAATGCTTTTTTCTCAAAATATGTCGTTGATAACTGCAGAACACATGATTTGAAATCCTTCCATATCAGGAGGAAATGTCTGCCAACTGTCTATGGTCAATACTTAGAATTAAAGCGTAAGATATTTACATAGTGTCTATAAGCCATCACAGTATATTCAAACTCCAGTTATTTCACTACACTTTCTGAATGATCTTAAAAAATGTCATGTGCTTTATGATAATTGTTAAATTTTGGAACTGACAGACAACTGTTACTAATGGTGCATATAATTTACCAAATCAGTGGCTTCTTGTCATTAAGATGTATGTTTGAATTAGTGGCTAGGACAGGGATATTAAATGACTGTAGCTTTTCATTAGCAGGAAAAATGACAATTTATAACAATGTCTGGAAATCTAGCTTCCTGGTACAATGTAAATTTATTCTTCTTGCCCGATACAATACCAACACATTCAAACTTACCCAAAAGTCGTGGACTCTAAACTCAGCTTAATCATATTAAATAGGTTTGTAGAAAGCTCAAAGGGATTCCCGTCATAGCCATAAACTACTGGAGTTTAAAGAGAATAATTGCTCTTAACTTAACTATCAAGATAAGTGCATATGTGGATTTTATTTTTTAACTTATTGTTATTGGAAAGTCAGATTTACAAAGAAAGGGAGAGACAAAGAGAAAAAGATCTTCCATCTGCTGGGTCACTCCCCAAATGGCTGCAACAGGTGAAGCTGGGCTGATCCAAAGTCAGGAGTCAGGCGCCAGGAGCTTCTTCTGTGTCTCACATAGGGGTGTAGGGTCTCAAGGCTTTGAGGCATCCTCCACTGCTTTCTCATGCCACAAAAGCAGGGAGCTGGATGGGAAGTGAAGCAACTGGAACACAGCCAGTGCTCATAAGGGTGCCAGCACTTGGAGGTGAAGAATTAGCCATTTGAGCCATCGCACTGGCCCCCAAGTGTGTGTATTTCTTTCTTTCTTTCTTTCTTTTTTTTTTTTTAAGATTTATTTATTTATTGGAAAGTCAGATATACAGAGAGGAAGATCTTTTGTCCGATGATTCACTCCCCAAGTGAGTGCAACGGCTGATGCTATGCCTGTCCGAAGCCGGGATCCAGAAACTTCTTCCGGGTATCCCACACGGGTGCAGGGTCCCAAGGCTTTGGGCCGTCCTCAACTGCTTTCCCAGGCCACAAGCAGGGAGCTGGATGGGAAATGGAGCTCTCGGGATTAGAACTGGCACCCATATGGGATCCCGGTGCGTTCAAGGTGAGGACTTCAGCCGCTAGGCCACGCCGCCGGGCCCGTGTGTGTATTTTCTATATAACATTTACTGTAAGGGTTGTCATTTGGTCTAATGGTCAATATTGCGATTAACACATCTGTGTCCCACATCAGAATTTTTGCATTTAATGCCTAATGTCAGCCCTTTGCCGGGATACACCCACAGGCTCAAAAAATTCCCTGCCACCCAAGTGGAAATCTTGAATTGAGTTTCCAACTTTGGTCTAACACAGCTCTGGCCAATGTAGACATTTAGGGAGTGAACTAGCAGGTGGAGTGTTCTGTCTTTCCCTCTGTCTCCAACATAAATTTCATGACCTTTTTTCTGATTTTTATGAGAATGATAGATTTTCATCTGAAATTATGAAAATATTCAATCATTAGCAATTAGATTTGTAGTATGGCCTTTTAACATTTTCTTTCATGTGTGTTTTAACTCTTTGTATATCTCCCTGGTCTACAACTAGATTTCTATGATCTGGCTTGAATTTAATATTCTTTCTGCTCTTTCCTCTGAGGCTTCATCTTTAAAAAAAACATTCTTTAGTGGGGATTACAAATTAATAATTTTGTCCAGAAATGTTTAGCTTACTTCAGGTTGGAAGTAGCCTTGCTTTCTCATCTTCCAGGTTGCTGTTGTCGCTGAATTCGATCCTGTTAGAATGATGTCAGATACAATGGCATCCAAAGCTAGGATGGATACTGAAATGCAGGAAGAATTTATTCTTCAAAAGCCACTCTTCTCATTGAACACATACAGTGAAAAGCAGGTAATTATGGGGATACATATCACTGACAGAAAAACAACGGTGATGCTAAGAAGTGTACGTAAGTTTGTGTTGTCAGATACTAAGGGTTTTCAATTTGCACATTGCTGCATCACTCTGATTAGCATCATTTTTACTTCTAAATTATAACACATAATTATTATATAATTCTTACTTTGCGTTACAGCTAGTGACTTTAGAACAAAGCAATTTTCCTAAAAGTGTTCTCTCCCTGAAAACTAATTTCTAAATTTAATCATTTGAAAAATTTTATTACTGGCCTTATATATGAAAGACACGTAAATTAATAGTGTGCAATATCAACTTATCCATTCTTGGTGGTAACAATAGTCTATCATTACAATGGGCAATAAACAGCTTACTTTTTTATGGTATCAAAATGTTAATTTTATTACATTTGTTGGCAAATTCATAATTGCTTATGACAGTACAGTGGTAGGTTTATGACATCACAAGTTTCTTTAAACAATATAGGGTTTATGAAATCACAAATGATTATAGCATCACAATGATGGTTTATATCATAAAAATTGATTCCACCATCACAATTATAGGCTTAAGATGTCACAGATAGTTCTTATGATATCACAATTCATTATGAAAGTACAATGATAGGTTTATGACATCACAATTAAAACACGAGAGTTAGTGACATCACACTGAGAATATACTTTAATGGAAGACTAGTGAAAAATCAGAAACTTCCTGCCTTTATTTTCCCTGTAAAATTTTTTGAGGCTTTTTTTTTCTAAAATCTATTTTGTTATTCCATGATACAGATATATAGTAACTGTGTAGTAGAGACTTTCACATACAGATGTAAAGCTACAATATAATGTGCATCTCTACTTCCAAATCAAAGGTGGACTCCCAATGAAATTTTTGGATGTATCTTGACAATAAGATGCCAGACTCTTTGCTACAATATCAGGATATACTTAAACAGTAGAATGGCGCACTATGGCTGATTGTGAAGGACTACACTGTTGTGATGACATGGAGAAAATTAGTGGAGGGGTGCAGGGATTTAGGGAGGGGTATAGGGAGATGCTGGAGCCTAATTTGTAAATTTAAAAAATGCAGACTTTATAAAATTTTATTTGAAAAATTTTGGTTTTATTATTTAAGAGTTTCCCTTGCATTAAAATTTGTATTTAAACTAATGGAAAACTTTTAAACAACCAGTGATACTGGCATGACAAAACAAGTACATGTTTTCAGAAGTGAAAATGAACAGAAGGCAGTACACTGGAACTCATGACAAAATAATTCTGGGTGCTATGGAGTTACATAGCCATTTCTAGAAACTTAGCAGTCATTGTAGTCTGTGCCTATAATTGAAAGGAGGCTTTAGAAAGATTGTTTAGATGAATGGTTGAAGGAGTAGAAATAAGAAAGGAAGACAGATGAATAAGTGGATATTCCTGACATGAAAGGAGAACGTAGTTATTAATTTTACAAGTCATAGCAAGAGAAGCTAAAAACTTACTTAATTTATTTAAAAATCAGGAAACTTCATCCATTCATCTATTGCCCAAGCGATTCATCATGCCTCTGTTATGCACTGCATACTTTGTAAAAGAACAAAAGTATGAATAATTCATTCACTAACCATATAAACATTTATAGAAAACACACTATGTCATGACATACACTGTATTTTGATTTTATGTGAAATACATGGCCTACCTCCTTGCTTTGTGGAGGAGGCAAGCTAGTACTCTGAGAGGGGAAAAGGCATGTACAAAAATTATTTTACTTTGAGGAACTCCATCATGGTGATTTAAGGGCTGTGGCAGCTCAAAGGAGCTACCTGACCAAGAGTATCAGAAAAGAAATTTTGAGCTCTGTGTTAAGTCAAGGATTTTTGGTAACTGCAACATAATTCACATCAGAGGATTTACAACAACCACCACCATAATAAAAACAAGGTTGAGGAGTGTGCCCTGTTGAGGGATTCATTCTAAGAATGTATAGAAATTCCAGATACTGAAGTAGGGAGGGAAGCTAGGGTTTGGAAGGATTGAAACCAGAACCTGGAAAAGTCTTAGAATGCTGAGGTTAAAAAAAAAAAAAAAGCAAGTTTTATTGAGCATTTAAGGGTAGAATGAGCCTTCAGTGTAAAGTGTAACAGAAGGGTAATGTGGCCAGTCAATCTATGGAAGTAAGACTGGAAGCATGGATTAGCATCAAATCCAAAGCATGGTAAGTTTTGCTATTTACTCGTTGGGTACTTATTCTGTAAGCAGTCATGAGACTCTGAAGCAGGTATATTATGCTTTAACTATGTATATTGAGTGAAAACCTGGTAAGAGCAGATTTGGGATGAGGTCATTGTAAGATGGCAGAATCTTCAGAGCAGTGAGGAGAGCGAGGACAATAAATGGTTCTGGCATGGAAGCAGAGGGAATGAAAGAAGGGACAGTGGTGCCAAGTTAGCTGTATTTTGGATTCGAATTCACATCCATTACCTGCTGACTGGATGCCCTTGAGTAAGCTACTAAAATCCTTATGTTCTTCATCTGTAAACGCATGATTTGCAAGGACCTTGCTGTTATCAGAGATGATCAGTGTCAAGTGCCCAGAATAAAGCCTGGCACACACTAGTTATTCAATAAGTTACACATGGTCTTGCCATTAAGCATGTGACAATACAGAAGGACTCAGGGAGAAAAAGTTGATTATTTTGGTTTCACGTTTAGGGTGACATTTGATACTGTACATTTGCAGGAAAGCAAGTCACTGCTTCTAGATAGAATTGAGGAGGTAGAGATATGGATGGGAGGAAGGTCTCAGTTTCACTTGAAGTTTACTGAAAAAGAGAATAAACTTTAAAAATGAGCTTATGACAGTGGAAGTGAAGAGAGAGTTGGATCTTACAGATAACCTGTACACAGATTGGACATGGATCCTTGGGAGTGTAAGAGAGTGGCTAGGGAAAGAGCAGGAGAAACAGGTCAAAAACACAGAGCTGTTGCTTCTCAGAATCAAAATCCTGTTTATCTTGTCTTCATCCTCATCATTTCCTCAGCCCCAGGTCTGACCTGTCACTAATTTCTATTGATTTTTCTTTTCATAGTGTTCCTGATAGTAATTGCTTCCTTATTGCTAGCCAAGTTTAGACATTTATTATTTCATAGCTAAATAATTACAGGAGGCTCCTAACTACTCTCCTGGCCTCAATCTTTTCTCTTACACAATAATTTGTTTTGAGATTAGGAACAGATAATTTTTTTTCTATGTAACCACGATGTTTATGTTACTTTCATGCTGAAGACAGAAAACATGGGTAGGTATTTTGGCACAACAGGTAAGCCACTGCACATAGTTTTGGAGTACCTGGGCTGGATTCCCAACTCTGCTTGCTATTCCAGCTTCTAAAGAGGCAAAAAGTAATGACTCAAGTATTGCATTCTGGCAACCGCATGGGAGACCTTGATGGAATTCTGGCCTTCTAGATTTTGTGACACAACCCTGGATTTTTGGGTAGTCAACCAGCTGATAAGATTCTCATTCTCTCCTCCCATCCCCTCCCCTCCCATCCCCTCCCATCCCCTCTCCTCTCTCTCTCTCCCAGTCTCTCTCCCTATATCTCTGTCTTTGGAATAAATAAAGTTAATTCCACATTTTTAAAAACAGCAGAAATACTATAGTGACTCTCAAGATGCACTGACAAGGACTGCAAGCCTTTGACGTTCATTCCCCAGACTGAGAGGCATCGGTACCCAGGACTCCCCAATGGTACACATGCTCTTATCAAATTGACCTATTTCACCTCTGGGTTTGTGCCCTCCTTTACAGGTTAGATCTTTCCTCCTCTTTGAAATAGAATAAGTTGGACTTTAGAGTTAGATCCTCTTTACTGAGATCATCCTCACCCCACTATCCAAATAGTATATATCACTTGTTGCCATGAACTGTGATTATGTGTCTTTATTCTTATAACTTTTGTTCATTTAGGAGCTCCTGGAAGGGGTAAAGGCGACTGATTTAGACAGTTTATAATCCCATTCCCTAGAGGGACTTTCAAGTCCATAGAAAATGCTTCTATCGGTAAAATCCATACAAGGTCATTTTCTATCATCCCAAGCAATGTCTATTGGCATTTAATACTTGTAGGAGGGGAAGAAGAAGGTCCTCTCAACTACCAGTGAAAACAGAAATTGAACTACTCATATGTCTACTCCCACTTAGAATCAGACTGATGGGGACATTTCTAGTTCTGTTTCAAATAGAAATCTGGCTTTGGGGAAAAAAAATCTATTGATTTTTTTGTTTTTCAAGTGGTGGCCATGTGTTTAAACTTAGTTTACATATTGTCAAATGGTGGAGAAATTAAAGTGTCTGTTTAAAGACAGATGCACAGAGCTATGGCCTAGCCTTTTTTTTTCTTCAATCAATGATTGTGCTGTATGAATTTAGCCAGTGATGAAATAATACATAAATGACAGTACAGAAAGTAAGCTTCTTTGACTCTGACTTTTAATAATTTGAATGTTTTGTCTAGTTTATACCATGAAGAGTCCTCATAAAGTTCATGGAAAATGTGTAATATGAAAATACCATGCATGTATTTCATTTTTTTTTTACCTGAAAGATAAACTTACCCTTTAATTCCACTTTCTGCTAGCTTTTGAAATGTTCCTGTAAGTCTATACAACCTGTGTTGCAAAACACTAATATGTCAATAATTGATGATGTCACATATTTTCTTTTAAATACAGATTTTACAGGGAGGGGAGAGAGAACAAGCTCTCTCATCCACTGGCTTATACCCAAATGGCTGCAATGGTCAGAGTTGAACTGATCTGAAACCAAGAGCCAAGAGCTGCTTCTCAGCCTCCCATGAGGGTGCAGAGGCCCACGGACTCGAGTCCTCTTCTGCTGCTTGCCCAGGCCACAAGCAGGAAACTGGATTAGAACTGGAGCAGCTGGGACATGAACTGGCACCCTTATGGAATGCCAGCACTAGCAGGCTATGTCACTGTGCTGACTCCAAGCATTTTTCTTAAAAATAACCAGAAAGTAGTTACCACATTCACAAAAAGTATTGTCATCTAGTTGTTTATCCAACAAAAATATATTATGCAGAGAAATGTGGAGCTAAGTGATGGTTTTTTACTTTGGTTCAATGAATTGTTGTTTACACTGTATTTTATTTTACAGATAATTTCTGATCCTAGACTTCGTGTGGAATTAGCACTTAGAGAAGCTGGACTTCATAACACATGTTATGCCCAAGAGATTTTGCCAAAAATCAGTCCGCAAAAACCTCCAAGAAGGGACATGGAGTCTACTGTATTTAAAAGCTAGATGTTATCCTCAAATCCTCTTAGATGTAAGCCAATTTTTTATTTAAAAACATTTATATGGATAGCAATCATTGAGGCTATCCTAATAATGATACAATATGTCTAAAATAGAAGTGCTGATATCTATTAAAAGAACTTTTCCTGTTTTGATTTTACAATTATATGCACTCTTTCCTAAATGTCTTTTTATTTATATAACAGAAACAAATTTAATGTATTTTATACATACAGTTTTAATTGTATGCCCTCGATTCCTCACTCAATCACTGTCACTCTCTCCCACACCTCCTTCCTCCCTCCTTTCTGATTTTCCATTAATTTTTGTAAAATGTGCTGCCAATGTAGAAGCTTAACCTTCCACTACATAAAGACTTCAAGAAGTAGGAAGTAGATAAACCACTGTGTTGCAGGAGTATAGATGAAGGTTATAAATAATAATCAAATATCAAAATGTAAGTATCTTTAAGTCACATAAAATCGTCCTAAATCCACCAAGATTATGGACCTCAATCATGGCACATGCATTCCAAATACTATCGTTTAATAAACTGCGTTTTAGAGTTGTGTTATTTTCCGGAAAGAGATTAAAATAATAATTTGTGAGAATACCATATGTAGCTACTACCTGCTAGCATTCATTTCCACTTGTTGTTTTAGAATTTGACTTTTTAATTATGAAAGCTTCATTATCATTAATGCTTTTATTATTTCTTGATTATTATAAGAGGAGATTCAACCTTCTTCTAAATTTAGAAACCAATTTGGTACATCATGTTTACTGCAAACCAATCATCCAAAACAATTTCATTTTGCAAATTAGCCTTAAGAATAAATTAGAAATTAGAAATAGCACTGCTAGCATGAGAAATACCTCTCTTGGTCTGGAGAAAAAAATGCACTGGTGTGGTTTGGAAGGAATGTTTTAAAATTTGTAACATTTGGAATGTTATCAAATGTTCCAAATCGTTAAACACATGGATAATTTTATAGAAAGGAAAATTTCAAATGAAATTCAAGCATAAATCATGTTTATTTCGAAAAAGTAGCTGCTCAATCAAATCAATGTCGTTTAACATTTGCTGTTGTTACTATTTTAAAGACTATCCTCTCTTTTCTCTCCATCTCAGTTCCATGATATTTCCACTTCCAGTGCAGGGGTTACAATCTATAGACCGTTATTGAAATAGCATATAAAAGACAAAACTCAGGGCAAGTGGCAAAATATGTTTTCATGGTTGTTCCCAATTTCGTGGAAATAAGGGATGCCGGTCTAGTCCCTCAGAATAAAGCTTCACAAAGCATTCTATGGGCAACAATGCAAAACTTATGCGAGTGTGTTCCCAGGGCAGCTTTTTTTGCGTTATTACAGCAACTCATAAAAAGAGGAGAAAGATGTTAAAAGAACAATTCTTAGTATGAAAGTATATTAAAATCATTGTAGGGGTAGGAATTCATAGTGGCAGATGAGGCCCTTGTATCCCTTACTGCTTATAGCTCAGTGATTGGGTCCTTGCCATCCATATTGTGCCCTCTGCCTGAATTCCTAGCTCCTGCTTTTGACCTGGTCCACTTCACCCATTGTGCAGACTTGGACAATGAATCAGGAGATAGCAACTCTGTTTCTCAAACATTTTAGAAATAATATTTTAAATCAATTTTGGGTGCAATATCCCGATGTTACAGGAATTTCTGAGGTAGGAATGCTGGTACCTACGTGGGAGTCATATTTTCCCTGGAATGTGATAAGAATCCCTTGATTTTCTTCCTCTCTATGTGTGCTCTGTCTCCTTTGGATCTTCTCCGTTCCAGTTGCCTGGTAGGCTTGAAGAGTACAGACTTAATAGCACTAAGCAATGTACCATGAAATTATTAAATTCTCTTTGGTTACTCTACTCTGTATATAGTGGTAATAACAAAAATTATTTCTTAGTAGGTGGTATTCGAACAAAACAAAACAGAAAATAATTCCTTTCAATGCCATTAGTTATGGATGAGATATCCTTACTGAACTGCACATCACAAGGGTGATGGGATTGTCTCCAGCTGAGAGGCAGGAATGTAATCCAAGTGGTGGGAATTCCCCTTTCTCCCTTCCCTAGCACCAAATCTGCCAGTATATCCACCTCTGCATTTTTTATTTAGTTCCTTAGTGGAGGGAGCAGTCTTCCCTCAACTAGAGATGTTGCCACGTGTGCTTCATGTCTCACACCTTCGAAACTCCACAGAAAGCTATTTTCTGCCTTGTGCTATATCTTCATGCTCTCCCTCAGCTCAGTTTTTTTTTTAAACTTTTTGAAAGTGAATCTTCCTTAACCCCAGTATCTCCTCTAGGTACTGTAATGTTTCTCTGTTCCTCTTCTCAAGAAACTTTTAAAAAATTGCCACTAGGAGGGCCTGGCAGCGTGACCTAGCGGCTAAAGTCCTAGCCTTGAACGCGTCTGGATACCATATGGGTGCCGGTTCTAATCCTGGCAGCTCCTCTTCCCATACAGCTAAAATCTGCTTGTGGCCTGGGAAAGCAGTCGAGGACAGCCCAAAGCTTTGGGACCCTGCACCCACATGGGATACCTGGAAGACGTTCCTGGTTCCCGGCTTCGGATCGGTGTAGTACTGGCCGTAGCGCTCACTTGGGGAGTGAATCATCGAACGGAAGCTCTTCCTCTCTTGTCTCTCCTCCTCTCTGTATATCCCCTGCTGGACAATCACTCCCACTGGAGAGCACTGGGATCGGGGCTGACCAGACCAGGCAGGGCTGCAATACCTGTGGTCCTCATGTGAGCTAGATTGGCAAAGGGCCAGATTGGGCTGACTGTTCCTACTGGTGCAAGCAAAAATTTGAGTGGGTGAGGGTTGGTTGGGCTTTGCCGCAGTATCATACCCTTGGTTAAATTTTTCCCTAAGCATTTAAACATTTTTATAGCTATTGTGGATGGGAGAGATCTTTTATAGCTATTGTGGATGGGAGAGATCTTAAAAGTTCATTCTCAGCCACGGCATTGTTTCAATGTGCAAATATTATTGAGTTGCTAGGCCTTTTGGCTTAGTAGATAATTCTTCTATCTGCAATGCCAGCATCCCATATGGGCACCCGTATATGTCTCAGCTGCCCACACTTCCAACCTACCTCCCTGCTAATGGTCTGGTAAAGCAACAGAAGATGTCCCAAGTGCTTGGGCCCCTCTCTGTGTGTGGGAGATTGATAAAGCTCCTGGCTTCAGCGGGGCCTATTCCTAGCTGTTGCAGCCATCTCAGCCGTAAACCAGTAATGGATGATATCATTTTCTCTGTCTCTCCCTTTAACTCTATCTCAGATACATTTAAATAAATAAATAAATATTTTAAGTAAGTAAATCTTTTTAAAAATATGCTATTGATTTTTTACACTTGATCTTAGCCAAAAGGCTGAGAAGCAAAGCTATTGGTTTTTTATTTTATGTATTGATTTTATATCTTGCAACTTTGCCAAATTCTCTTATCAGTCCAATCGCATCTTAGTAGAATTTCAGGGTTTATCTGTGAATAGGATTGTATTATATGCAACCCAGGATCATTTGAGTTTCTTTTTCCATTTGTATCCTTTTTCTAGCCTAATGGCTTTGGCTGCTTCCAGAGCTGTAGTGAATAGTAGTGGTGAGAGTGAGTATTCTTGCCTGATTTGAGAAGGAAATGGTTCTGGTTCTTAGTGATAATGCTTTCCACTTTTTCTCCATTCAGTATAATACTGGCTCTTGGTTTGTCAAATATTACCTTATGTTGAGGTATATCTCTTCGAAACCCAGCTGACTTGAATCAGGAAAGTGATGTGCCTATCAGATGCTTTTTCTGCATCTGTTGTGATGACACTGTGATTTTATTCTTCAGGTTTTCATGTAATGTATCACATTTATTGATTTGCACATGTTGAACCATCCTTGTATCCTAGGGTTAAATCTCACTTGGTCAGGGTGGATGATCTTTTGATGTGTTGTTGGTTTAGTTAGCAGAATTTTGTTGAGGATTTTTTGTTTTTATGTTAGTCACAGATATTTTTCTGTAAGTGTGCCATTGTATCATGAGGTTTTGGAATTAAGATGATGCTGCATGGAAGGAGTTTGGAAGGATTCCCTCCTTTTCAAGTGTCCTGAATAGTTTATGAAGATTTACAGTTATTCCTTCTTAGGAAGGTTGGTGGAAATCAGTAGTGAAGCCTTGCGGTCTTTTGCTTTCCGTGTTGATAGAATATTTGTGGCTGATTCAGTCTGTCATTGTTATTGGTCTATTTAAGTTTCATCATGCCTTAATTTTGGTAAGTTGCTTGTTCCAAAAAAATCTATTTTTCTTGGACAAAATAAATCAAACAAATAAATAAAATATCAGTTTCTTCTAGATTTTCCCGTTTGTTTGCATATAGCTTTTCAAAGTTATTTTTGAAAATTTTTTCTTACTTCTATAATATTCATTGTAATATCTCCTTTCTCATCTCTGATTTTAAAATTTTGGTCTTCTTTTTTTTGCCATAGCTGAGCCAATAGTTTATCGATTTTGTTTGTTATGGAAACAGAAGTGACCTTAAGTAGCTAAAGAAATCTTAAATAATAAAAATAAATCTGGAGACAACATAATACTAAATTTCAACATATTATGGGACACTTACAATCAAAACAGCCTGTCACTGACATATCAATGGACACGTGGATGAATAAAACATAGAAATCAATGCGTACATCTACAACTAACTGAGCTTTGACAAGCTGAAATAACTCCCTTGAGAAATGTTAAAGTCTTCAACAAATAATGGTGGGAAAATTGGATCTCTGCATGTAAAAGTAAGAAGAAGCAATGCCTCTACTTTATACCTATACAAAAATCAACTCATAGTGGATCCAGGACCTAAACCTAAGATTTTAAACCACCAAACTACTAAAGGAAAATGTGAAGCACAATGCAAAACATTGGTATAGGCAAAGATTTCTGGATGAGGATCCCAGAAACATTCACAATTAAAGTAAAGAAAGACAAATG